TATAAAATGTTAATAGTAGGCAATAGACAATTAATATTAAATCATGTTACAGACTTCTATATCACTTACAAACGGTTGTATATGTAATATAAATTTGCCCATTTGGATGTTCCCGTTAATAAAATGAGTTCGTTGTAATTCTCGCTGCACATTAAATTAGATTTAATGCTACATAAATAACGCTCGTACATATATTTGATATTTATAAGCTATTTCTAGTCAAATATAAGCGTCAGGATGGGACGTATAAAAGCGACCGTTTTTAATTGCGGTCGCGTTCACCGTTTTAACTTCTGCCAAACATTTGTTTTTCCTGTGAAGAATTTTTCAGTACGTATCGCAACACAAACCAAAGCCCAAGTTGCGGGGTAAGTTTTTTGTTTCACGTTTCGTGCTATAAGGTATCCCGAGAATTACATGCGTAGTTTTCTATTTTTGCGAGATGTAGAAATGACCACATAATCGCTACTCCGCTGACAGAGGCCTGAAACAAAAGAAATCCTCTTTTAATCAAAGCAAAAAAGTCATGCAAGCTCAGTCATGCCGAAACAGCGTACTATAAATACAAAGAAAATAAAAGAACCTTTACTGAAAGCACCTTGCAGTACACATTTGTTCCAATAAGGTAAAACCATTCGGCTTTTAGCAAGGGAATACGACATCGAAAAGTAAAACGATAGGTAAATGCGAAACTACAACCCATTACTTACAAGCTAAGCATCCCTATAAATTTTATCTGCGTGCCCCTTGTGGGCAACTCGCAACCAACGAAGATGTCTCAAAATAAAGTAATTTGTTACAGGTAACGTTAAGTTAATTATAAAGGTAGATTGCGATTTGGGCTTTGTTGTAAACTAAGAATTAGAATATTCGTAAACTGTTTTATATAAGTAAAAAGTAGAATTATTTGTTATCTGCGGTTGAATATTCCATAATTCGTGTATTGATTCCGAAGAGAAATTAAAAGTGTTTGTTCTGAACCATCTCCTCCTTCTTATTAAAATACTACGCCTTCGAATAACTAGCATCTGCTTACTTCGGCGACAACACGTGCTTATCTTGAAATTAATTAAATTTCTCAGCGCTAAGGACTTGTATCGCAAACGACCGGAGATAAACTTTCACAAAAACTACGCAAATATTCCAGACGTTTCTTAACTTACTAACACAAAGTAACTTTATAATAAAATAAAAAAATTAAATAAAACAATATATTGTTTAACAAAATTAACATAATTAATTAGTAATACCTGGATCCTGGAATTTTCGATATGAAAAAAATCGAAACCTGAAAACCTAATGCGCGATGACATCCTTAAATTCCGTGCACAATCGCCATACATTGCGAAGTTGTAATTGACTAATTTGTTGTTTTATGTTCCTAATGCTCGTTTACGGAACCGCATAATTTAGGGTAACTGTCGACAATAAACTTGCACGTCCATATTTTGAAGAGATAGGCATCGCGTCTAAATAACAATTTCGGTTATTTATTAAACACCAACCTTTTCCACGAACATTTTCCTTATCGCTTTAGGTTGTGGACACAAGAACGGAATATTGATGAGATATTTATAATGGCATTATCATAATAAATTACTGTAATTATTACAAAAACTCTTCGGACAAGTGCTAGAAGTTCCTAAAGTCGAGTCTATAATTTGGATGTAACAAAATGCATAGTTTTTTGTTTAACTTTATTGTAGCAGTCCGAACTTTTTCAAAGTTTAGTTACCGGCAGTAAATGGTTAAAAATTAACGAAGCTGCAGGGTGTAGTAAAAGTTTAGCTCAATACTAGAGAAGCACTTTATTTCCACTGTCACCCCAAAATAAAGATCCTAATTCGATTTAATTTACGGTGCATTAATAAACAAGAATTAGTAGTCACGTAAGCCCATAATAAAATTTAATATGTAGGCACGTGTACATTGAATTATTTATTTGTCCATTTTGAGAGTAATTCGTTAAATATTTTATAGTAACCGAATACCGTTAATTGGAAAATGCGCAATTAGTGAAAATATCAGTTACTAGACTAAATGTAAAAAGCTAAATGGAACCGTTCAATTACACTAACGCATACATTGTCTCAATGTTAGTGCGTGCATCTGTCATGGTCTGACACTTTGATGGACATTGACCGATGATGTAATTACAAACACTCGCAGCTTTAAATGAACAAGGTATTAGCTAGCTAGGAAAGTGTTATCAGAATTTACAAAATAAATTACTGGTTTGGGATCTTTAACTTTAGAGGTACCCTTAATTGACTTTCCACGCTTGTATAGCACGCGTTCAAAAGCTTTCACAAAAGGAAACCGCAAATATGTGTACGTAAATGTGGGATGTATGGTGTTCTATTCACTAAGATAGAATTGGAGCTTTGTTGGAAATGAAACGCAAATTGGAATCTAAAATACTTGTACCTACACGAAACTTTTTTGCATAAATGGTCCCTAATAACCAATAATTGAATAATTGATTAAACTGTTGATGATATTGTTCATAGCATAGTAAAAATCGTAAAAAAGTTCCATACGATTTTTTGGCAAAAAAAGTTCAGTAATTTGGTTACTCTGAATTTTCAATGATTTGGTGGAAATAATTCCTTTCGTGCAAACTGTTAAGTACGCACTATACAGTCTATGTAAGTGCAGGCATAAAAGGAACATTTGCCGACTTATTGTTTAAAAAATGTCTGCGATAATATCGACAAATGGAAATATTAACATGCCTTTGTTTAATGAAAGTGGAAGATTTTTTTGCAGTATTTGCACTTGTGGTCAATTAATGGGAAGTGCTGAGAGAACCACCTTGATCTCTCTTTCGATAGTAACCTGAGGATGCTCGGCTTCCATATACGATCTCAAGCAAGTGGCGAAAATATAGAGACGAATTTGGTGGTGTATTATGTTTTAAAATCCTCCTCTTGTCCTGAGCGTTATTCCCCCAATACGTTAGAACTAGAGTAGAGGATTTGCAGTACGCCCAGTCTAAGTATTGAGTAATATAATAGTCTAATGCGGCAAAGGAAACAGGGAACAGGTATCACGATGGAAAAATATAAAAAATCTCGAATTGTTTCGGAATGAATTGGGTTTATTCCTCAACCAAGTGTAACTGTAGCTTTTAATTTGGAATTTTTTTATTCGAATGTTTGTGAATTTTAGAGTTTAGCAGAAAGCATGCAGGGTGGTAGAAGTATAGGTTTGGGAATTTTAAAATTCTAGTAAATTTTAGATTTGTGTCGAGATCCGTAGTTTCCAATTAAAGTTTAGCGATCGTTTTTTATGCATCATTTGAATTCTATACCGTGGTTTTCAAGGATACTTGTACATTTCGGTTCCTGTTCCACCATGATACAGTTGTTTTTAATATTGAGGTTAATTTCATGCTTTCTAGGAAATTTTTCTGCGGATGTAAGTATACAGTTAACCAGATGACTGTTTGGCTGGTTTGTTTACTTTGGGAATGAGTTTAGGGAGAGGCATGACAAGACACCTCCTGTGTGTTTTCAACATGAAGATTTGTATGGTCGCCGGAACATAAGATGGCATCTTTTCTGAGAAGGATTATTGAGAGATTGCATTTTCTGTACAGGATGATGATTCATGCCTTTTTGACGGTGGATTGTTAGGGGGTGAATTTCAGCAGTTGTTTGCAGTATACACACTTTGTTTACATATAAATCCGTGGACAGAAATAGTCTGTGGTCATTTCCATCATCAACCATAATTAGCGAGGTTTGCAATTCAAAATCTTCTGTAGGTAAAAAACGGGAACTAAGTATATGGCTGTATCCTTCTCCGGTGATGGGCGCTCTAACCTTTTGATGGCCCTTTCTGCAATTCTTTTAGGGGGGGCTACTAGTCTTGGAATATTAAGCTCCTAAGTTTCCTACAGAAATAACATTGTGCGATTTCATAAGATGCAAATTCTGCTATTTAAAAGTCGAGCTGCGAAAGTGACATTTTTGGGACTTATAATATCCCCTATAGCTTTGACATAGTCAGATAAGGTTTTCTTCTGCATGGAAAACAATCGCTTGCCCTCTATTAAGAAAGTCTGGTTTAGATACTGATATATTACATACGTATAGCAGCTGACATTGTGTTGGCTATTTGTTTGTGATGAAATTAGGTTGGAAGCTGTTCAGTTAGTCCCTTCGATATTCTTGCTGCTTTTGCAGTCAAAAACAGTGTCAAATATTTTAATCATTGGTAACGTTTCCATTTAATTGATTAAAGTTCAAATCGTTCATGAGGTAATGCAAAAAACATCGACCGGAACCGAAATTAACCTCTCATCCGTAAAAACAATGTTCAACTACCAGTAAAAAATGAAACTGTAGTAAAACACTTCAAGTAACCAGCAAAAAAGCCAAGTCAAACAATTTAAATTTTAACTGAAAACTTAATTTTCTTTTCTCTTTTCTTTAGTATCCCCCTCGCCCACTTCTCACTCCTTCTCGCCACGGCCTCATCTCTGCTTCTCACTGTCCTTTCCACCTCCTTGATATTACATAACATGTGTTCTTCCTCTCTACATATTCTACATTTCCTTTCTTCTTCTTGTCTCCATTTCTCATTCCTTCTCCCTCATTTCCACATCTGAATCTCGCCATTATTTAAATATATATAATTTTCTCCCATATTTTGGTTACCACTCCCTTATTCTCTATATCTTGACCCTCTGTCATTATTTGTTTTCCATCCTTTCTCATACTCCTCTCTCCTTTTCGACCTCAGCCCGTCCGTATCCATTTCTTTCATATTTTTCTCTTTCTTCTTCCTACGCTCCATTTGTGTTCATCTTCATTGTCAAGCATTATTTCACCAATTCGCTTTCCTTTTCACTCCTTTCCTGGAACTGTACTGCGTCCCGACGCCATCCTTAGCTTCTCCATTTTTGTTTCATTCTCTATATACTTAATATACAATTTGGTATTTTTCTGTTTAGGTCCTGGTTTTATAACACCTTTTTTTGTATTCGTTCCAGTTTATCCCATGCATTCGACCTCCATATCTCCGCTTTGTGCATAAGCATCCTTCTCCTCCTTGCGTCGAACAGGTATCTTCTTGTTCTGAAATTGTTCGTGAAACCCCTCTCACCTATTTCCCACATGACACATGAAAAACGCAAACATCTTTCATTTTTTCCAATTCCTTTTCCACTAACCTGTGTAATATAATATGTCTCCTACCTTTTCCGAAGCCCATTTGTGTTTCTTCCAACATCCTCTTCTCTGTAATTTCTCTTTCTAATCTTTGATGAAGTACCAGTGCGTCGTCGTCATTATAGTGATTCCCCTATAATTTTACACATAGACTTTATTGCCCCCTTTGATAATCGGCACTATTACCCCTTCCTTCCATTTTTTGTTAAACCCCCTCCTTTCCATACCTCCTTTACTAGATTTCATCCTTTTCTTTAATAATAATAATAATAATAATAAAGTTTATTATCCCAACAGTGATAACACCAATTATAGGGCAATATTAGTGAACAACAGTCCGAGACAATAGCAGTATTAACATACTTAATTGACAGATGGCAAAAGACAGTAAAGGGCACGTCCTTAGTTGTTAAAGTGATTAATTACATTCTTCAAAAACTGGCCATAGCTATCATTAAATATATCCACATTTATATTACAAGATAATATTTGATTACAAATTTTCGCCATTTTATGAAGAGGAGAATTTGCTTGATGATAAGTGTTAGGCTTTTGACAATAAAAAATATTATAATTCCTTAAACCAGATCTAGGTGTCCTCAACTTAATCTGTGATAGTATACGCACGTCATCAATCAAATTATGCAGCAATTTAAACAAATAAAGTGCATTGTGTATATCATATTTGTGTCGCATTATATTGATTTCAAACAATTCTGCTAAGGATTCATACGACGTTCCTTGAATTGGATAAACGCCAAATTGTTTAAAGTAAAGGTACTTCAGAAAACGTTTGTGTACATATTCAATCTTTTTCATGTAGGTGACCTTAGTTGGAGACCAACACACTGCACAATACATTAACTTACAGTCAACAAACGCATTATATAATTTCAGCAATACATCACTAGATTTAAACAATTTGCAACTTCTAGTTATAAAACCCAGGACTTTAAATACAGTCTGTACATAATTTATCAATGTGACTTAGAAAAGTCAATTTTTGGTCTAATGTGACACCCAAGTCCCTAATTTCACGCACTCTCTCTACAACATAATTCTGAAGTCTATATTCATAACAGATGTTGTTCAACTTTCTAGAGAAAGTCATCACAAAACATTTTTTTAAATTTAGTTCCAAATTGTTCTCCTCAGACCACCCCAACAATAACTCAAGATCCCTTTGCAACACTTTACAATCATTAGCACTGTTTATATCAGTAAATATTTTTAAATCGTCCGCATATATTAGTGAGTTGCATTTAAAAATAGATGCAATATCATTAACAAAAATGGAAAACAATAGTGGCCCCAAATTGGAACCCTGGGGAACACCGCTTGGTGACACATATGCAAAAGATGTGTACCCATTTACAACGACACACTGTTTCCTATTGGCCAAATATGATGAGACAACATCAATAAGGTTTTGATTTACACCCATATTACGCAGCTTGTTTATTAAAATGGGATGCTGAAGTCTATCGAATGCCTTACTGAAGTCTGCAAAAAATACATCTACCTGTTTGTTAACATCCATTGCGTTAGATACATATTGGGTAAAATTGACCAAATTCGTACAAGTAGATCGCCTTGGGATGAATGCGTGTTGATCCTTCGATAAGAAGTTCATGACAGAAGTGAAGATTTTTTCGTGTAATACGCACTCAAACACTTTCGAAAAATTATTGAGCAGAGATATTTGTCTATAGTTAGTAATGTCCGCTGGATCTCCCGATTTCAGGATTGGTATCACTTTAGCGCACTTCCACATTACCGGAAATTCCGATGTACGAATGATAAGGTTAAATAAATGGGTTAGAGGTTTCACTAAGACCGGCCAACAATCCCTTAGAATGAACGATGGAATTCCATCCAATCCAGCGGTGCTTTTTGACTTAAGTTTCTTCAGAGACTTAATGACATCTTCCTCGCTAACTAGAGTAAAGCACATGTAGTCTAGTGATTTGTTGGGCAGCTTTTGGACCGTATTGATTAGTGGTGTAAATATGTCTTGGAAATGCCTAGCAAACCCATTAACAATACCTTCTGGAGAAGCCAAAATTTCGGTACCAAATCGCATTTCCCCTGGAATCCTCGTAGATTTCTTCATGGAATTAACAAGTCGCCATAAGGCGTTTGGATTTTGTTTCAAAGTTTGTTCGGTGCAGTTGATATAAGAACTCTTGGCGTTATTAATCATTCGCTTTAATTCCCGCCGTTCTATTTGGAATGATTCTTTGTCTCTCACTTTCCTGGTTTTTATGTATAGCGCTCTGGATCTTTCTTTAATACGTAATTGTCGCACTATATCACCGTTAAACCAAGGAGGATACTTTAATTGGTTTCTGCTTCCAGCTGTCTTTGGGACAAATTGGTCTAAGGTGGAATACACATTCTGGTACAAATATTTACAAGCAGTATTGACATCAACACAAGAATAAAGGACTTCCCAATCGATGTTGGCCATAGCAGTATACAACCCAAAATAATTAGCCTTCTTAAAATTGTAAGACGGTGTTAACTTCCGTTGGAAGTTTATTGATTTGACTTTGCTAGTTACTTGCAACAAAGACATTAAGGGTGGGTGATGGCAATCTACCTTCACTAAAGGCTGAATGTCCTGCATAACATCACATGTTAGCGTTTTAGGTACGATAATAAGATCAAGAATGCGATTATTTATATTGACAACTTTATTGATTTGAACATAATCTCCGAAATCTAGAAAATTTTTTAATAGCACGTACTTTTCACTCCCTAATACAGCAGATCCCGCAGATTTACTATTACAGGCGAAATACTCTGGAATATTAAAATCACCCGTAAAGATGACGTAAGCCTCCAGATACAACACCTCCTCCAATGCATGAAAGAGCTCTTCGTACGTAGCAGCAGCCGTATTCGGTGGTATATAAGCATTCACAATGATTAAGTACTGATTGGCATTTAATTTTAATTTAACCAGAGTTATTTCAAGTTCGTCTAAGGTTCTTGGTAAATTTATTTTCGTGGAAGAGAAGTTATTTCTTACCGCCACCAAAGTGCCTCCTCCTTTACGCGCTACGCGATCGTTACGATAAAGTGTATAGTTTCCAGAAAACATTTCCAAGTCTCCGATATCACTACATAACCACGTTTCGGTGAGACAGATAACATCAAAGTCAAATAGATGCACGTTATTTAAAAGTTCGTTTGTTTTAGTTCGTAAACCGCGCACATTTTGGTAATATAAGCAAATGGTGAAAGTATGGCACTGCTGGGAATCACTTAGTTTTTTGGTGGTTGAAGTTTAATTATTGTTGGGCGATTGTTTATGAACTTCAAGGTTAAATTCTCTTCTCCATTTTTAGTGCGGGTTGCAATTTCTGCAATGACACTGTTCAGTTGGTCTCTCTGCATTTTGGTCCTATCAGCACCAATTTTTATTTCGCTTGGAAGTTTATCCTTGTTACGTAGCAAATCCCGAGCATACTCCGATTTTTCAAACACCACTTTAATAGGCCGAGGTGTTTCCCCTTTTCTTCCCAAACGAAACATAGTTTTAATTTTTGCATCGCCAACAATGGGTGCTACAACGGCATCAACTTTGACAAAATCTTCATTTTTCCTTTCCTCACTACTAATGGTGGTTGGCTCCTTGAGATTAAATACAATGATATTCGAGGATCTGTATTGCCTATCTTGAATTTCATCCAAAATAGCCTGATGATCGTCCATCGATTTGTTTTTTAATGTAGCTACTTCCGCTTTTAGATTCACATTCTCCTTTTCCAGGTAAATAAGGCGATCGTTTATCTTGCCAAATTCAATTGAAAACATATTCAGCATTTCCGCCTTAAATGTTGTAAAGATGGAATCCATCAAGGATTCAATCTGGTTAATCGACTTCCCAGGTGCCACATCATGATAAGTACCCCCTGCGTTTTCCTCAGAAACTGATTCCACCATACAACCTTTACAGACCCATCCAGTCGTAGATTTTTTCTTCTTTTCATTAAGGAAGAAAGCAAATTCTGTGTCCGAGAGACCTGTACACGCGGCATGGTACCATTGAAGGCATCTTTGACAGCGAATAAAGCTGCTTGAGGGATTAATCAGATTTGCGCACTTTCCACAAAAAGTAGACATCTTTTTAATTTCCAGTACAATTTGTATTTATTGTGTACAGATAATATTTACGGTAAAGTCTTCATATCAATTACCATGAGTTCACATAGCGGTTATCACCCACGCGTTTGATTATGGAATTTGACACACGTACCTTATAAATGTACAAAGGCAAAAATTCACTGCAATTATTATATGTATGGCCCGATTTTGATTAAATAAAGGAGTAACTTAAACAAGAAAAACCGTCCGTAATTTTAATTCAAAAAGAAATGGTCTTTAAGCACAAATTTTAATGTTAGAGCGTTTAAAACACGTCCGAACTGACTGACTGTAACGTCTAATTTCTTGACCATATCTGTGGTGGAAATCGAAGCCTACTTGCCTATCTGGTCTCTCCCTGCCGCTTTCCCTTTCTTCAATCTTTTTAGTTGCTGCTCTCTCCTCTTGTTATCGAAAGTATTCGAAATTGGTTTCTAGTCTATAACTTTTGATTAAGAAGTATGATCGAAAAAGTACGAATTGATTTGGATTCTACGCACCCAAATTAATAAGAAAAAGTGTTTTCCCGAGAAATTTTGGTGCAGTCGATTTTTGGTAAAAAAGGAATGTTATACACTGCCTTTTTTTGAGACACGAAAAAAAAAATTGTCTCCGATTGACCCGGAAAAAATTTTTTCTCATAGAATGTGGCCAGTAGAATCCATAATTTCCAACAGTTCCAAGATTGGGCTACTAGTTCAAAAGTTACAGCCCTTTGAATTTTTTTTCGAAATTGGTTTCTAGTCTATAAATTTTGATTGAGAAGTCTGATCGAAAAAGTACGAATTGATTTGGATTCTACGCACCCAAATTAATAAGAAAAAGTATTTTCCGTAGAAATTCTGGTGTAGTCGATTTTTGGTATAAAAGGAAGGTTAATACACTGCCTTTTTTTGAGGCCCAAAAAAAAATTGTCTCAGATCGACCCGGAAAAAAATGAATCTTATAGAATGTGGCCCGTAGAATCCATAATTTCCAACAGTTCCAAGATTGGGCTACTAGTTCAAAAGTTACAGCCCTTTGAATTTTTTTTCGAAATATGGTTTCTAGTCTATAATTTTTGATTAAGAAGTCTGATCGAAAAATACGAATTGAAATTGGATTCTACGCACCCAAATTAATAAGAAAAAGTGTTTTCCCGAGAAATTTTGGTGTAGTCGATTTTTGGTAAAAAAGGAAGGTTATACACTGCCTGTTTTTGAGCCCCTCCTCCATAGCCTCCTCTTTGTCCCCCTTTCCTTAGTACCTTGATAAAATGTTGGTTCTATTCCTCTAATCGTATCTCCCTTCCTCTTGTTCTGTTTTTCTTTTTTCTTCTGTTTATCACCTTCCTTCTTTGTTTTTATTACACTGATTTGCTCTTCGTATTCTTTCTGTTTGTCCATCTTTCTTTCTTTACATTTTCGTTTGTACTTTTTTCTATTTCCTCACCTCGAGTTCCCCTCTTCTTTCTTTCTCGGTCATTTCTCTATAATATCCCCATCAGTTTTTCTTTTTTCACCCCCTTCCTGTCCAGTTATTACTTTCCACGTTATATCCTTTACTTTATTCCACTCCTCCTCTGTACTCCTTGTTCCTCGAGTCTCCCTTTATACAACTTCACCGTGTCCCTTGTCCATATATCTCCCTTCGTCTTTGCGTCTTTTCATTTCTTGATCTTCTTATTTTCCTTTTTAGACTCAATTCCATTTTTCCCTAAGCATATCAAACTAGTTTAAAAACAATTTCCATGGATTTATCTAAGGCATAGCACGAAAATGAGTTTAAATCTTCCAGAAAGTGGCCATTATGTTACCAAAAGACTGACAAGTCAATCCGAACGTTCCTTAATGCGACAAGGACTTCAGCCAAGCGTTAATTCTTTTCACAATTCAACGGAGTCCACAGATCCCATTAAACTATGTAGCCATCGATGTCACTGGGAATAGTGAGTCCATTGAAAATAATCATTTGAATCTGCCCAAGCGAAATACGGTAACAATGAATCATACTGACCCACAGAGGTTACAGAACTCTTTGTAGAGATTAATCTAGTCGACTCAGGATCAACCAGGTTTTGGAACCAACGAGAATAACGGCCGACGGAATACTGGCGAATAAAGTAGGGCCCAGTGCACTAGGACATCAGCAGTGGAAGAGAAAGTTTCACTCTATGGCCGCGAGATTAAAAGCGACGAAGGTGGGCGAATCGCCTTATCAGCTCCCACTGGGCAAATCCAATTGCACATGATTGACATACAATATGCCAATGGGAATTTTGCACGTCCCTGCAGCGATCATATTTCTAAATACGATTATGAATTCAATTTCGCCCGTTTCTTTTTTAAATACCTATTTCACAAAGGCATTTCCAATTACAACTTTGAAGTTTAATTTACGTACCAGATTAAAAAGCTATTTATACTCCAATAAAAAACAATTTTCGAGACGTATCCCTTAAAAAAAACAAACAAAAAATCGTTTAATATGCACACATATTTCTTATTTTTATTTCGAAGGATGCAATACACAAGGATAATTTGCAAAACACACCGCTCAAGTGCATCCGGTGATCTACATGGATGGCGCCCTCTCGCACATAAATTCCGTTGACAGTTTACTTAAAATCTACTGAACATAAATAAATGACAATGGACTGGAAATAATGGATACAAAAAATAACTTTCTTTGTCGGGCATCTATTTTAAATAGTAATAAACTATAATTTGTATTGGAAACAGTAAAGAAAGGTTCAGAAAAAAGTAAAGTATTTAGTATTCTCGACGAACTTGTGATAAATTATGAATGCGGTGGGTTCTTGACTCTAATTGTCTTACAGTAAACAAATTTCTTTCATTCCGAAGATCTTGGCAAACTTCTCATGCGGAAATATTTACTTTCAAAGCGTTGTTCTATCGAGCCAAAACAGCGTGTCCTCGATGTAGGGCTGAAGGAAATAGGATCGAGTCAAACAGTATTAATAATCGCCGAGAAGTAGCGTTGAGTGTTAAATATTTACTTTGTACTATAAGATATTATCATTCGAAGAAAAAATACACTGACGCGTGTCTAAAGCAACTGTTTATATGAATGAATGACAGCTTAACATGAAATGATGTTCTGTTGAACCCATTAGTCAAGTTGACTCTTTGACTTGTATTGGTTCCTGCTGTTGTACGATGATTGATGGCCAAGTAACTTCATTTTTAAATTGTGTGTAATATTTTAAGCCGCCTAGGTATATCGTGTTCCATTATTTTGTTGTACGCTTCAAAATATTAACTACGCATCCCTCGGTTTAATGACATACGACGAGCCGGTGACGGTTTATATGAATGTGAGAAAATACAGCTTTAAATGAGAATTTACTTTATGGGCTGCTTCGGGGCGTTCAGAATGAGAACCTGTACAAATTTCGATAGCAATCTGCAATAAACATTTCAATAATACGCTACTTGTATGGGTGGGTTTAATTAATAGCGAAGATGGGATTACTCTCCCATTTATACTTAAATGGAGAATTTGTCATTTTGACGTATGAATACTGACTAGGACAAAAAAGAAAATCCATTTCGTCATCCCTCCTATATACGACGGAAACTAACTTTCGATTTCAATGAATGAAGTGGTGCACACATTTATTTCTCAACAAAAAAATAGTAGTTGTGCGAAATAAGATGTGGCCAAATGCAAAAGATATTCAAATGAGAAATGCATTGGGCAGTTTTCCGCAATCAACATAATGATTTCCTTTTACACTTGCTAAGTAACCAACCCACAACAAAAAGGATCTTATTTTAAAATATTGTTCAAGTGATCTGCCTCTCCATTAAGGTTTACAGTACTTGGTTCTGCCAAACAGGTCAGAATATACAACTTAATATAAAATTACAAACTCCGTGGTTCAGTCGTCTTTTGAAATTACACATAGAGTGCCAGAAACGAAGGACATTTTTTCAAGATGAATGGATTAAC